TAGGATCAATAAAATTCGGCCACATAATAGGGACCGAATTCAACCCAGGATTGAGCATAGTATTAAAAATAACAGTATTGCGCACAGTTCGACCATGTGGAGTAGACAAACCCCCAGTCACCTGGTTTACATCATTCAGATGACACCATAACTTCTTTGCTTTATATTTCTATGCGAACTCTGTTTTTTCCTTGCCATTTTTCTTTTGCTATTCCTTAATATTTAATACTTACAAAGAATATTAGTACACAATGAGCGAACCAAATTTAAACCAAGCACACCAATTTAAAACAGTATTACTAGGTATTAGCGAGCCAAAATTTATTTTAACCAAGCATACTTTTAAGCAAACATGTCTAGAATGTACTGACCCTGTGTGAATTTTATCCCAACATAGGAGAGTCTGCAGTGGGCAAGACAAGGTATGTAGAGTGACAATAGGACATTTATGCGAATTTACAAGTACACTTTCATGGCTTGTAATAAAATGGTTTTTAAGGCTATTTTTTTATAAATTTAGTATAATGCACTATTTCATTCGTGGTACCTTTGACCCATTTCGAGAAAGCACTATTGGGGGTATGTATTGTACTTATACCATTCTCGAGTTTTAAAAAATAAAGTCAGTGGAATGGTAAAGTGATAGGGCTTGTTGACATATACAATTGTAGCTGGATTTTTCTCAAAGAATGTGACATCAACTGATGGTATCAGTATTCGGTTTGACATTTGGGACACTGCTGGGCAAGAGCGATATAAGGTAATATCATATATACGGGAAGATTTCACTAGCGATCAAGTGTATGGTATGCAGGAATGTGCCTTATTAGATTTTGGCTCAATCATGAGTCAATCCATATGCAACTACTCCTGGGGACCCATTTTGCCCAAAGCTTGGTTATGACCTTTGACTATACATGTATACACACTTGAAGTATCGGCAGCTAAAGAACATCTACCTTGGAATTGAATTGCTGTATATTATGCTGATAAATAATGTTGACATATAAATATCTGCTTTAATTATAGAGTCTTACACCAATGTATTATCGCAATGCAAGCTGTGCAATTGTTGTATATGACACCACCATTACAGTAAGTTATATATATATATATATATATATATATTCTAGAGGACAAAGAAAAAAGCGATAAATCGATACCAAGCCAAATACATCACACATTTATTCATATCTTGTGTTTTTAGGAATCTTTTGGACGGGCAATTACTTGGGTAAAAGAACTCAAAAACAGAGGCGAACCAAACATCATAATTGTATTGGTGGGCAACAAAATTGATCTACAGCAGCGACGAACAGTTCTAAAGACCGTAGGCATCTTTATCTCCTGCTATTTGAACCATATATATATATATATGGTTCAAATAGCAGGAGATAAAGATGCCTACGGTCTTTAGAACTGTTCGTCGCTGCTGTAGATCAATTTTGTTGCCCACCAATACAATTATGATGTTTGGTTCGCCTCTGTTTTTGAGTTCTTTTACCCAAGTAATTGCCCGTCCAAAAGATTCCTAAAAACACAAGATATGAATAAATGTGTGATGTATTTGGCTTGGTATCGATTTATCGCTTTTTTCTTTGTCCTCTAGAATATATATATATATATATATATATATAACTTACTGTAATGGTGGTGTCATATACAACAATTGCACAGCTTGCATTGCGATAATACATTGGTGTAAGACTCTATAATTAAAGCAGATATTTATATGTCAACATTATTTATCAGCATAATATACAGCAATTCAATTCCAAGGTAGATGTTCTTTAGCTGCCGATACTTCAAGTGTGTATACATGTATAGTCAAAGGTCATAACCAAGCTTTGGGCAAAATGGGTCCCCAGGAGTAGTTGCATATGGATTGACTCATGATTGAGCCAAAATCTAATAAGGCACATTCCTGCATACCATACACTTGATCGCTAGTGAAATCTTCCCGTATATATGATATTACCTTATATCGCTCTTGCCCAGCAGTGTCCCAAATGTCAAACCGAATACTGATACCATCAGTTGATGTCACATTCTTTGAGAAAAATCCAGCTACAATTGTATATGTCAACAAGCCCTATCACTTTACCATTCCACTGACTTTATTTTTTAAAACTCGAGAATGGTATAAGTACAATACATACCCCCAATAGTGCTTTCTCGAAATGGGTCAAAGGTACCACGAATGAAATAGTGCATTATACTAAATTTATAAAAAAATAGCCTTAAAAACCATTTTATTACAAGCCATGAAAGTGTACTTGTAAATTCGCATAAATGTCCTATTGTCACTCTACATACCTTGTCTTGCCCACTGCAGACTCTCCTATGTTGGGATAAAATTCACACAGGGTCAGTACATTCTAGACATGTTTGCTTAAAAGTATGCTTGGTTAAAATAAATTTTGGCTCGCTAATACCTAGTAATACTGTTTTAAATTGGTGTGCTTGGTTTAAATTTGGTTCGCTCATTGTGTACTAATATTCTTTGTAAGTATTAAATATTAAGGAATAGCAAAAGAAAAATGGCAAGGAAAAAACAGAGTTCGCATAGAAATATAAAGCAAAGAAGTTATGGTGTCATCTGAATGATGTAAACCAGGTGACTGGGGGTTTGTCTACTCCACATGGTCGAACTGTGCGCAATACTGTTATTTTTAATACTATGCTCAATCCTGGGTTGAATTCGGTCCCTATTATGTGGCCGAATTTTATTGATCCTAAATACCGGCTATACAAGCTCTATTGTTTAGCCACAAGCGAATTTTTCCAAGGTCAAAGCATTTCAAAATAACTGGGAATAAAATAGTATAAATAAAAGTAAATGCAGGTAATTATTTTTGAAGGGTAGACACATTTGCTAGTAAACGGTGATCACCCATTTGGCTCTGATTGCTCCTATAATCATTGACTACTAAAAGATATCCTTCAAAAATCATGGTCCATATGGATCATAGTTTTTGAAGGGTACCTTTTGGTGGCCAACAGTTAAAGGGGCAATCTCAGCCAAATGTGCGATCACCATTTGTTAGCAAATGGCCACTCTTCAAAAATAACTACCCATATTTATATGGCAGAGTCTCCACTAAAAGTGTACTAGATTCCTATGAAAATTACACCCTTGGATTTTTTCCCATAAGTTTTGACATTAAATTATATTTTGTCTAAAATTGTTTTATTAAACCCATAACTACAATAATATAAAATATTTATCATTATGAACACATAGTAAAGTAACTGTATTAACTCTACTATACTATAATATTTGATTTTTTATTAGAAAAAAAAAGAAAAATTAAAAAAAGGAATAATATTTTAACTGATAATTAAAAAAAATGTATTTATCAGATACTATTAGAGATTTTATTAAAAATAAAAGTAAGCAAAAGCCCTATAGCCAGCAAAAGGGAGGCCAAAGAGCTAGAAATAAAAGGGCTGCTTTAGAAGTTCTAAAACTCCTCACTGGAGATGAAGTGCAAGAAATTGCTAAAGAGCTTTTACCAGGTAAGCAGTGCCACTTATTGAATGACTCCAAGTGTCTTTTAGATCCTTTCCTTACTCTGTTTAGTGCCTATTTTAATGACCAATCTGGACAGCTCAAGCTAGAGCTTTTAAATATTTTATCTAAAGTTTTTACTAGAAAATTTTTATTAGATAATAATTTTAAATTTTCACCTTTTCTTTTTACAAAGGCAAAAGGCATACTGACTCAAAGTCAATAATGTAAGGACTATTTTAATTAGGGAAAGTAATGAGGCAACCTCTTCTGGGCAAAAGAGGTCTGCAGATGATGATGATGATGTATGTCCAAGCCCTAGTAAGAAACTTAGAATAGAATATATTAGGGGAAAAAAAAGAGAAGTTCCTGAAGTTTTTAAAAATAAAAAAAATAAATATTATAACTTTTTAATAGATAACTCTAGACTTGCAGCCAACAGAACAATCAAAGAGATAGGTACTGATGGAATTAAGAGAGATGTGCCTTGTAGGTATCTTAATGGATCTATTAGATACCTCTGGAGGAAATTCATAAGTGGCCAAAATAACTTTTCTTATTCTTATTCTTACTTTGCAAAATGTTTACCAAAAATCTATAAAAAAGCATATAAATTAACAGATCTTTGTGAGATATGTGAATTAGGAAAAAAACAAGAAATAAGGTTGGAAGCCCTTAAACAAGATAATAGCAAAAATAATGAAGGTAATATTAAAGATCTGCAGACCAGTGTTAGCTATTATAAAGCACACAAAATGGCTGCAGATCACCAATATAAACTATATAATAATGAAATTACTAACCCAGGCTTAAATAAAGCTGTTATTATTTTAGATTTTAAAGAGAATTTGCACTTGGGGAGAGGACCAAGAGAAATTGGCCAGGATTTTTACAATAGAAGGCCCATGTCCAATATAAAAGATAAATATTTAATAAAGAAAAGCCTCTTATCAATTGGACCAGATAAACATAGAAAAGATATAATGAAAGATAATAAGATAATTAAAGTTATGGGTTATATTTAAAATGATATATAAATATTAATATTATGCCATAGCAAAAATTTTGTTAGGCTGTAGCCAACATGGTTCAAAATGAAATTAAGTTATCCAGGATCACTCTGATCAACTATAAGTTGATCAGAATAACTCTAAATCATTCTGGATGACCCAGTTTTATTTTGGGTCATTTGGTATGGATTATGTTAGCCACAGCCTAATAGTTTTTTTAAATTTTTCAATCTTATTCCTTTAATAGTATAGCCAAGGTTTTTCCTCTATGGTTTAGTCTAGGCTAGCTTAATTTTTCTATTGAGCTTTAAATTTTATCTACTTTTTTATTTTTAATAAAGGTTACTTTCTATAAGCCCTTACTACAGTACGAACATACAAAAATGAAGGAGGTCAGGAAGTTCCAAAAAAAGTACCTAATGACAAAAGGATAGTTGAGTTATACTCAATGAAATTAGTTTTAAATCCCAAAAGGTTTAAGCCCCACGCGGGGGTCGAACCCGCAACCTCCCGCTGTCACCGTTTTCACACGTAGAAGGCGGGTGCTCTAACCAATTGAGCTAGCGAGGCATCCCCATCTCTCTTCTGCTTTTATTTTTTATACTTACAATTTATATACTTATAAATTTTAAAAGCCTTCACCCCACA